TATATATATATATATATATATTAAACTATTCACTATTTTCTAATTTTCTTCACCCTATTTCTCTCCTCAATACCAAACATACTTCTAGGATAAATGAAGTGAGGTGTTTATTATGAAATTGAATAATAAACTTGTTTTACTAAGAAATTGTTGAGGCTTTTTATTTGTATAATTGTTCATATATAAATATAAAATCACATTAAATTACAAATATTTATAATTTTAATTGCATTTTTCATCCATTTCATTACGATGTATATTTTTGTAATTTTGTTTTGGAATTACCAATGGCATTAAAAGTATAAAAAAAAATTTGGTTATAAAACTCAAATGTAACTTGAACATGTCATTATATATTTAAGGTTTAGGGTTTAGGATTTTTTGTAGTGTGTTGTTTAGATGTTTTTCAATTTTTTTATTTATAATTCTGTTAATTTTTTTGTTCAAAATATTAGTCAAATAATATTTTCTGTAGTTTTTTTTTTTGTTTTGAAAAAGTAGTTCAATAATACTATAAAATTTTCAATATTTTTTTAAAATATAAATTATTTGTTATATATTTTAAAAGGTAATTATTGGTTATAAATAATTTATAATTTTGAATTACAAAACATATTTATATAAAATATGTATATAAATGTTATAAATTTAAACTTTAGGTTGTTGACATTTATTTTTAAATAAAATATGCATAATATTTAGGTATTAAATTACATTTTTAGTAATGAATAAACAGAAATAATTGTAAATTAAGGATTTGTTAGAATTTGATATATAGATACTTGTAAATAATAAAATTAATTTTAAATCTTTGACATACTGATACTAATCAAGGAATAATAAAAACAAATCGGCTTGGCATATAAATATTGATAAAATTATAATCAAAAGTTAGATTCAATAACTAAGTAAATGATCTGACACGAACATTTATCTTATATAAGAGTATTTTATGACTTTTTTTAATCAGAGAGTTTTTTAGAGATTTTTTAAATTTTTTATTTAATTTAGTTTTTATTTATCATAATTATTTATAAATTAAATTTTAATACTTTTAAAATAAGTTATCAATAATATTATACTACAATATAAACTATTTATTATAAATTTAAAATATAATTTATATATTTAAAAGTATCTATTTATACAATTTTAAATATAATTTATATATTCAAACATAATATTTATTTTTATATATAATTTATTATAAATTTTAGTTACATATAAATATTTAGTCTGTACAGATTAAAATACTAGTTACTATATAATTTAGTATTATAATTTCTTATTGAGGTTGTGCAATAAAATATTAAAATTTTACTAAACTTTTTATTATGAAATCTTATTTTACTGTTACCATAAAAAAATCTTGTTTTATTCATGTTCCGCCCTTGCACTCAGATAGGTCTAAATTGCTTGACAGACGTGGCCCAAGTACAAGGCCACCCAAAAATACTTGAATCATATACAGACTTAGTTATTTACATACTCATGTGTCTTCGGAAAAGAATGTGAAAATTATATTAATTTAATAATTTATTATGTGAGATCTTGTATGTGTTGTTTATTATAAGTTTAGAGGTGCACTTTTTCCTTCTGGTATTTCACCTTTTTGCTTGTGTTTTTTTTTTTTTTTTCAAAAGATGAGATTCTTAATGATAATTTGTTATATTCACCAATTTTTTTTTGTAATAATTACTTATTTCACATAAAGAAAAATCACATTAATTTCATGGATTTTTCCTAGATATCAATAAACTCATAAATTATTTCTTTTATTTGAAACCAATTAGAAAAAAAAAGGAATAGTTTACGAGAATTATCTATATTTATATAGATAAACTATAAAATCCTCGAGCGTCCATCCCTAAAAATGTTATGAGGCGTTTTAACTGTATTTTACATATTTTGGATTTATTTACTAATTTTTTTAAGATATTTAAATGTTCATCTTTTAAATTTTAATGAAAAAAATAGTTCATTCTGTTATTTATCTTTATGGGAAAAAAGTAGTTTTTTCTTAAATTTTTTTGAGAATTTTTATATTAAAAGTAAAGTTTAATGGCGATGTGCCGTTTACTATTAAACTCTTCAAATTAATATATTTTAATAAATAACATTTTAAAAATAATTTTAAACTTGGTTGTAAACAAATTCTATATAAACATGCGGTGAACTTAGATTCACGTTATTTAACTAATTATAATCATCATTAATATGATTTTTAACATAATTATCCTAAAATTAAATAATAATGTAATTATAATGATTAAAATCAAATTCTTACTAATAGTAATTATCGGACTTCATCATAAATCATGTTGATATGCACCCAATTCTTGTTACATATAATATTTACAATTTTTTAATAAAATAGGGGAAAATTAACGTTTTTGCACAGTGACTTCCTCAGTCTATATAAACCAGTGGTATGATGAAAATTGAAAAGTGGGAAGATAGAGTGCAATGTGATCTCCCTATCTAAAAGTAGCTAAGAGTGAATTAATTGAAACTACGAGTTATATTATGCATGCCCAGAACAGTACGTACGTTGTTTTATGAGATATAACTACCATCTCACAGTCACAGGTCTGCATGGATCCCAATGTCAGTTCATCTTCTAGCTACAACACTAACAGTAGTATTAATTAATAATTAAGCTGACTCATAGAGTTCAAACTTATGTAAGATATATTAGGGATAACATATAACTAGTAAGGCACAACAGGCCAGTGGCAGTGAGGCAGTGTAACTGTGTTGTTATAATCTTCCACAGTGAAAGGACTATAAACCTGATCTGCAACTTGCTCAATGGTACTCTTTC